AAAAAAAAAAAGCAGGCAATGAGTATCTTAAATCTTCTATATTAACTAGAAGTTGAATATTTCAACTGTGTTTGCTATTCAGAATCAGATGTAGCCATTTTCAGGGACCTTAATGATCTCAATTATCCTTAAGGCTCGTACCATGGCTTTAATATTGCCAGCTCTAAACATGTTTCTGCAAAAACATGGAGAGGTAAGCAGAGTAAACAGCTGGCTTCTAAAGAGTTGCACATCCAAACTCACCTTAACAACTACACAACTGCAGCCGACTACTTTGCGGGGCTTTCCTTCTCGGTCAATTTTGCAGAGGCCTACCCACTCCCCCAGTTTCTTATTATCATCAACCTGTCGGAGAAACAAACATCTATTACTAACAGACTATATAATGCTGTATTTGTAAAGTCAATTCTCATGTGGCTGTTCTCAGAATTGGTGACATGGCAATTTCCTCACATGATTCAGTAGAGGGAGCCAGTTGTCATCATGCACAGCACATGGCAGATCACTCTCTACCCCATTTTACACAGAACTTTTTAACACACACCAGGACAGCTTTCTCACTTGCATTAAATATAGACTGCAAGCCTAGGTTGTCCTTATCATCCCGTACTAAAGAGATTAAATTCATTAATGCAAAAAGCAGTTTTTCTAAATGACTCAGAGGTGGTTACCTTTATCAGGTTGATTTGGTGTTCAGCACAAAGGGCCTCTACTAACTTGACATACATAGGCTCATTACAGTTGGATGCAAGCACACATAGATGGGCTTGGCGCTTGTCTAAGGCTTTGGCAGCTTCGCGGATTCCACGTGCTAGGCCATCGTGGATGAGGGCGGTCTTCAGCACCTCTTGTAAAGCGGTATTTACGTCCATTACACCTCCAGCAGCAATGCTGAAACAGAGAGAAAAGTCTCCCAATTACATAAATGCCTTACTCCGCTAAGGCATTACAAACGAGGCAAGCCCAGAGCGCCCCACCAGCTTTGGGGCCCGAGCCTTCCCGCCACCCGCACTCACCCTTCCTCGGCCATGGCGATGGGTTACGGGTGGGGCGGAATCTTGAACGCACTACGAGACAAATAAGACTCTGATTAAGCAATCTTGGTCAGACACAGCAATACTAAATACAGCGCGAAAAAGCAAATTAGTTTCAACCAAAGATTACTCACCCCAGGCCTCCGGACAACTCGGCGGCGACAGAGGAAAAGACGGGACCACGGCGCACGGCGGTATTTAAAGCCGCTCAGGACCCCTGCGCGCATGTGCACTCCCGCCTGGTACAGGGGTGGTTCTCGCAGTGCCGGGCTCTGCACATTTTGTTTCCGTACTTCTCCTCTCCATGAATCCTTGTCGAGTTTAACAGGCGTCGCGTGGACAGCCTCGAGGAAGCCTGTCACGTCAGAGGCGGAGCCTGCACAGGCCCAGAGAGGCAACTATTCTATGGTCTCCGAGAGGGACAAAAAGTTTTGTTTGCAAGCTCTGTTGCGCTTAGCTGGAACGCAGTGCAGTATATTTTGTTATTTTTAAATACAATTTTTTATTTTCTATTAGTTTACTTACAGAGTTCCTATACATTGTTTTTTCACACTGAGTCTTTCCCGTTTCCTTTACTTACACTTTCCAACACCCGTCACGTACGACTATGATCCTTGCCCACCTTCACCCCTCTCCTTTCCCCGGCTTAGATCTACGTTTTGTTGGTTATCTATTTCTACAGTAATAGTCTTCTAGTATTTGTAATAGTATTTGTCTTTATGGGACTGAGTTCTCTTAGAATAATGCTCTCCAGTCCCTCCCAAGTTAGGTAGTGATTGACAAAAACCATTGCTCCTGCGTGCTGCATAGTATTCTATCTTGAGACTGTATCATTTTTTTTTTTTTTGAGACTGTATCATTTTTTAATCCATTCGAATGTGATTGGACATTTGGGATCTTTCCAGGTTCTTGAAATGGTGACTAACACTTCTATGAACAATGGTGTACAGATTTCCATTTGTACTTTAGTTCCAATTTTTTGAGGTATAATATTCCAAGCAGTGAGTGGAATAGCTCGGTCATGGAATTCCCTATGTTAAGCTTTTTGAGGAAGCCCTGTAAACAGCCTTCCAGAGCGGTTCTACCATTTTACAATCCCACAATAATGGATAAGAGTTCCTATTTCTCCACATTCTTTCCAAAGTTTATTACTTGCTGTCCTGCTGTTGTTGTTGTTGTTATGTGCCATCGAGTCGTTTCCGACTCATAGCGACCCTATGCATAACAGCTCTAAACCCTGCTCTATCCTGCGCCAACCGCACCGCCTCTGACACACCCACCCCGATTACCCCAGTCACCGAATCAATCCATCTCATAGAGGGTCTTCCCCTCCTGCGCTGTCCCTCCACCCTCCCAAGCATGATGTCCCTCTCCAAGGACCCGTCCCTCCTGGCAACATGTCCAAAGTATGTCAGACGAAGCCCCAGAATCCTTGCCTCCAAGGAGCAGCTTGGTTTAATCCTCTCCAAGATGGATCTATTTGTTTTCCTGGCAGTTCAGGGTACATTCAAGTACCCTTCTCCAGCACCACAGCTCAAAAGCATCCACTCTCCTTCTGTCCTCCCTAGTCATTGTCCAACTCTCTGATGCATAACAAGCGATTGCAAATACCATGACCTGTATCAGGCGCACCTTAGTCTCCAGAGAGACACTGTTGCTCCTGAGTACATTTGAGAGGTCCCTAACGGCAGACTTTCCCATCGCGATACGCTTTTTGATTTCCTGACTGCTGGTACCAAGAGTGTTAACTGTGGAGCCGAGCAAAGTGAAGCTGTGAAAACTCTCAATCTCTTCATCATCCATCCTGACGCTGCCAATTGGTCCAGTGGCGAGAATCTTTGTCTTCTTGACGTTGAGCCTTAGTCCATACTGAAGGCTGCAGTCCTTGACCCTTCGCAGCAAGTGCATGAGGTCCTCCTCAGTTTCAGCAAGCAAGGTTGTGTCATCTGCATAACGGAGATTGTTGATAGATCTTCCACCAATCCTGATGCCACAATTCTCCTCATAGAGCCCAGCCTCTCGGATAATCTGCTCTGCATACATGTTGAAAAGGTATGGAGACAGGATGCATCCCTGGCGTACACCCTTCCCTATTTTGAACCATGCAGTGTTACCCTGCTCTGTTCTGACTACTGCCTCTTACTTACTCTATACTTGGACCAAGAGGCTGTCCTGCTAAACTTTGCCAACTGCTAATGATGTGAGATGGTAATTCATTGTGGTTTTGATATGCATCTCTCTTATTGCCAGTAATTTTAAGCCTTTTATCCATGTGACTGTTAGCCATCCAAATATTTTCATCTCTGAAAAGTCTTTCCGTGTCTTTTGCCCATTTTGTAATTGAGTTACCAGTATTTTTCTTCTGGAGGCCTGTAGGATTCTGTAAACTTTTAATATGAGACTTGTCTGAAATTATATTGCCAAATGTTTGTTCCCAGTCAGTAGATTTTCTTTTCAGTCTGTTAGAAAATGTGTTTGATGCACACAGGGATTTAATCTTTAGAAGGTCCCATTCATCAATTTTATCCTCTTCAGATTGTGCGTTTCTGGCTGTATTTAGCAGTCTCTATACCATAGATGAGGCTTTCTAAGCTTGATCTCAGTTTGTCTCTTAAGAACTTTTTCATTTTGGAATTTAAGGTCTCTCTAACTCCTTGGGTTAATTTTTGTGTATGATATGTGATGTTGATCCTGTTTCAGCTTTCTACAGGTAGCAGTCCAGTTTTGCCAGCACCATTTGTTGAAGAGGTTGTCATTTCCCATTTGATAGGTTTTCAGGAAATCAAAAGATAAATTACACTGGGAAAATCTGCTGTCAGAGACCTTTAAAGAGTACTGAGACACAATGATGTCGATCTAGAGACTAAGGTGCACCTGATTGAGGTTATGGTCTTCGCACTTACTTACTATGCATCAGAGAACTGGATAATAACTAAAGATGTCAGAAGAAGAATTGATGCCTTTTGAGTTATGGTGCTGGGGAAGAGTCTTGAACATACCATGGAGTACTAAGAAAATAAATAGGTCTGTCTTGGAGAGGGTGAAATGAAGTTTCTTCTTGGTGACTAGGGTTTTGAAACTCCATCTCACATGCATTAGGCACATGGCCAAGAGGGACCTGACCTTGGAGAAGGACATCATACTCAGAAGGGTGGAAGAACAACTCAGAAGAGGAAGACCCCTGATAAGATGGATTGATAAAGTAACTGAGGTCATGGGGCAGATGTGTCAGAGTCGGTGAAACTGGCTCAGAATAGGACAGACTTCAGAGCTATTGTACATAGTGTTGCTATGAATTGCAGGTGTCTCAGCACATAATAATGACAACAACATTTCCTTTTCGAATATCAGTCGACCATAAATAGAGGCGTCCATTTCTGGGCTCTCAATTCTACTCCATTTGTCTGTATACCTGGCATTGTAGTAGTACCATGCTTGCTTTTTGGGCTTTTGTTTGGTTGGTTTTTTATTGTGACTTTAATGAAAGTTTACAGAAAAGTTGGATTTTTTTTTCACACATTCATTGTTGCACATTTTTCTCCCTATGCCACCTTCCCATTCTTTTTGTTTTGTTTTTATGTTAGTTTGCTCACAAAATTCATATTTGTTGTGTTTCACACTCTTCTTCATTCATCTTGTGTTTCATGCAATCATTCCCATGCCTTATGTTTTATAAAATCAATCACCATTGGACCTAACCCATCATTACCCAATGGTTTCAGATCCCTGCGGGATCCTTCCCATTTCCTTCTCCTCCTTCCTCCACCCATGAACTGTGCAATCCTGTGCTTTTGCCCCTACCCATCTTCACACTTCGGTTCCCACCTTTTTGCCCCCACACATGTGTTATTAGTTATCCTTCTGTTATGAGACTGAGTTAGTTCACTCAGCGCAATGTTCTCCAGTCTCTCAAGTTAGGTAGTCGTTTTTTAAATCATTCCTGAGTGCTGCATTAGTAGTCCATTGTGTGAATGTACCATAATTTCTCAATCCATTCAGTTGTAGTTGGACTTTTTCCATACTCTTGTGATGGTGAATAATGCTGCTATGAACATTGGTGTACAGATCTCCATTTGTGTCTCAGTTCTAATTTCTTTGGGGTATGTTCCTAGTAGTGGAATAGCTCGGCCATACATCAAACTGCCTTCCAGAGTGATTTTACCATTTTACCATCCCCCCAACAGTGTATGAGATCTCTCAACAGTTTATATGTCTCTCCATATCCTCTCCTACATTTATTGTTTGCTACCCTGATAAATTTTGCCACTGTTATTGGGGTAAGATGGCACCAGGGACGTCATTGCCGATGTTAGATGAATCCTGGCCGAAGGTCAACAATACCAGAAGGATGTCTATTTGTTATTGACTATACAGATGCATTTGACTGTCTGGATAAAAACAAGTTGTGGCTGGCATTGAGAAGAATGAAAATCCCAGAACATTTAATTGTGTTCATGTGGAATCTATACCTGGATCAGGAAGCTGTTGTGCAAACAGAGCAGGATAACACTGCATGTTTTCAATTTGAGAAGGGAGTGTGTCAGGGCTGTATTCTCTCCCCATACCTAGTCAGTCGGTATGCTAAGTAATTTATCCAAAAAGAGGAAGTGTGAAGAGTAGTGGACCATCAGGATTAATGGGAGACTTATCAGTAACCTGCCTTATGCAGATGGCACAACCTTGCTTGCTGAAAGTGAGGAAGACTTGAAGTTCTTGTTGCAGAAGATCAAGGAATGCAGCTGTCAGTATGGATTGCATCTCAATGTCAGGAAAACAAAGATTTTTATCACTGGACCAATAAACAGTATCACAGTGGATGGAGAGGAGATTAAAACTCAACAGTTTCATCTTTCTTGGGTCCACAATTAATACCATTAGTATCAGCAATCAGGAAATAATGAGATGCATTGCACTGTGTTAGGGACCTCTCCAAATTATTGAGGAGTAACTATGTCAGTTTGAGGACTAAGGTGTGTCAGATTCACGACATGGTCTT